CCCAGGAGCTTACATATGCTTTGGCTGGGAGACTCCAATCTAAGATATGAGCCACGTCTAAACTCCTTAAAGGGTGTTACATAGCGGATCATATAGGGGAGTCTTATAGGAGGTATTAAGGGGGATACTAGGTGTTTAGACAATGGCTCATATGTTTTGAGAGTGTCTTGATGACAATCCTGAGGTTTTCGGGTTGTATGGTCCAGCATTTAGGGGCTTTGGGGTTTAGGAGACTGTCCCAACGGGTCCTCAGCAGCCATAGTATAGAGAATATATTCACCCAGACCCTAAGGGAAGGTCCTACTACAGAAGCAGCCATGCTTCTTGGTCGTTTAGAGTCTAGGGTTTAGGGAGGGAATAAAGGCGCATAATCCCTATACGGGTTATTGTCAAAATTGTGTCAAAATTGTGGAACCCATTTGAATATACACGATATTACGGCACCTAATATTTAGGTGTACCAAAATGGGACCCCAATTTTGGGAACCCCCCCATAATTCCCCCTACTAACCTCCATATAACAATTCCCTATTCCCTACTTACCCCGATATACCATTTCCCTTATTTCTTACTTACCCCCATAGAACAATTCCCTTATTCCCTACTGACCCCCATAGAACAATTCCCTTATTCCCTACTGACCCCCATAGAACAATTCCCTTATTCCCTGGTAACCCGCATAGAACAATTCCCTTATTCCCTGGTAACCCCCATAGAACAATTCCCTTATTCCCTGGTAACCCCCAGAAAGGTGTCAGTACTTTGGGCCGTCTGGGCTAAGAAATTAGCCAAGGACAGAGCTGGATTGACTTCGCGGGCGTACAGGAAAGCCAAGGCCAGGTGCCTAGACTGTGGGGGTTTAGGGTTTAGGGTTGTGTTTTGCAGGGATAATGGAAACTACTATACTTGGGTCATATAGGGTTTAGGGTTTAGGGTTGGGGTTATATCGGGATGATGGAGAAGAAGCTGGAAACTACTACAATGGGGCATATAGGGTTTAGGGTTGGGGTTATATGCGGATAGTGGAAAAGACCATGCAAACTATTACAATGAGATCATATAGGGTTTTATGGGTTAAGGGGATTATATGGGGATTATAGGTTATATTAGGGTTATATAAGGTTATATAGGGATCATGGAGGACAACATGGAAACTACTATAGTATAGTGTTTAGGGTGTAGGCGTTAAGGGTTTGGGGGTATGTAGGGATAATGGAAGATAACATGGAATTACCATTTAAGGTTCAGGGTTTAGGGTTTAGGTCTTACCCCAAGCCCACAGCTGACCTCCGCTTGGCAAGGAATGAAGGAACGGATCCCTAATATGGTCGTCCCCGTTTAGTCCCCACGCAATCATGGCATGTACTAGCTTCCATTTTCGATTCCATTCCTTCAATTCCCTGCTAACTAGATCCACATCCTTCGTGGAACAAGTTGTTAGCCACGTTGCCGGAGCTTCTGTAAGATTACTACCCGCGACCATTGACAACCATCATCATTTTCTTTCTGGTTGTGAGTAGGTAATGGAGGCATTGGCAAGGAATGGAAAAGAAAGTGGAAGCTATTAAATCGCTTGGTATGACACGTGAGCTACACCGCAGGTATTTACTCCTCCATTTCCTGCGATTCAACAGTAAGTATTGTATGTAGTTCATGTCATGGGATTGGTGCAGTGGTGGAAAAGATCCAAGCTGTAGCTATGCAAGACCCTGCAGTCTCTTCGAACTACGATTCTACAAGACACTGGCGTTTTGTGACGTAGTTGTCACTGCTCGGGAAAGTGGAGGGCTAAATTGCAACATGAAACTGTCCACTTCGTAAGATCGGTGCATGGGAAGTTTGCCGAATGACGGCCCTTCTTGGTTGCACATACTGGTGGAGTCCTTGATATGGGACCCATTTGCAGCACAAGTTCCTATACCCTTGTTAGCCACCAAAATAATAATAGTAATAATATTAATAATAATAGTAATAATAGCAATAATAATAACTGTGTAATAGTAAAAATAATAATAATAGTAAAGAGCTGCGCAGGTCACATTCAGTACATCCATGCCCTTGCCTGGATTGTGCAACCACCATCACCACCGGAGCTGGGGGTGATAGCTCCCAACAGCCTCTAGACTCTAGCTTCTTCTAGGGTTTAGGGTTTAGGGTTTAGAGCTTAGGGTTTGGGGTTTAGGGTTTAGGGTTTTAGGGTTTAGGGTTTAGGGTTGCTGTCCTGGGGTTTAGGCGGCAATCTTGTTGCTGACATTGCGGTTCTGGGGTGTTGTGTATGCTTGTAGGCACCCACCCAGCCCTCCCACTTCAGCCAGTGCGCAGAGCATATGTCCAAAGCAAGATTTCCAGGGCAATCTTGAGGTTCTAGGGTTTGGCTGCAAGCAGCTAGGTTTCAAACGGGTTCCAGGACTTTGCTTTTGTAAATAATATCAAGCCCCAAACATGTGGGCCGAACTATGGCCAACTTCTTGGAACCCAACTGATAGTTCTCCCCACTACTGATACCGCTTGCTTTATCATACAGGGTGGGCGCCGGGGTTTAGTTTGAAGATGGTGATTGCTGCGTGCAATGTGCTTCATATTCACCACTCTTCGCACATTGACAACAGGAACTCTGACCCCTGGTCCAAGTACTAGGCAGTGATTTTCTCACCCACAACCAGAGCTGCAGTCAAGCTTGCACCACAAGATGGATGTTTAATAGTTGCTTTGCCACTTGTAGACTGGGTAGGCCCCTGAGATATTTAAAATTTTCCCTACTGACTTTAATAGGGGACCCTGTATACTAATATCTTTAAAACGGTTTTAGGGGCCAACCCAGCAGAGCCCTTGGAGCAGCTGTCGCAATCAGTTGGGGTCTCGCCCGCCCGCTCGCAGTCGAGGCATAGGCTACAGTTGACGCTAACAGTTAGTGTAGGTGTGGGGATCTTCTTATTCTTACTTAGTAATAGTAGTATTCCCCTACTCTAAATCCTTACAGTAAACCCTAAGCTCTAAAGCAAGGCTTCGTGGAGCGATTGGTTTCGATCATGCTGGCAACCTGGCAAAAATGGCTGGCCCGAACGCTGATATGTTGCGACCAATCATATCATGTATGGGGTTTCCAAAGTTTTCGAGCCCTGTCTTAGAGGGGGGCCTACAGATTCGTTTATAAAACATCAGGGTTTTCATCGGACTCCTGATTTTCGGAAACTGCTGTACGAAATATCCTTATAGTTGCTTGTGACCAGCGCGCCTAGTGTAACGCTGGTGAACGCGTGATTCGCAACTTTGATGTGTGGAGATTTCCCTTATTCATTATAATACGGGTCCCTATATTGGGGTTCTTATTAATTACAATGCGGGTCTATGGCAATTCCCACCCTCCCAATTGGGGAACAGTGATTTAGGCAAAGTCCCAAGTGTATACATGTGTGACATGTGGTATGATTTGTACTACTCCCCACTTCCCCGAAGGCCTTCTTCCTCACAGAGTTCCAATAAGGCTGGTAGTACAAGGAGGCTAAGCGTACGCCATTTGATTCCCAATATAAATTGGAATGTTACCTGTCGTACGACTTCCGTTTTCTGGAGCGTTGAACTCGGCTTTTATCCCAAGAAGTACTAGACCTGAAGGGGGTATAAATAGGCGAATATATAGGTATCCTACTACAGGGGTTATTAAGGGGGTAGGAGTTTAGATTATAGCTCATTCGGATAGGGGGCTTGGGGGTGGTGTTTGGCGGCTTGATCGGATGAAGCCGCGCTTGACTGTGTCCGTCTTTGAGCCGGTTTTGTAGGAGTTTTGTTACGCTGTAATATGTAGACGCATGATGAATAAACCCCTCCTTTTACGGGCCTTAATATTATGAACCCGATTATAATCCCTGTTAAGGGGAAGGGGGTTATTGCCTAGGGGTCTGGGTTAGGTTGTCTTCAAACATCATGCCAATGGGAACGAAACTTTGACGAAGGTTGTGGTTACCGTGCTGGTGATTGGCTCCTCACTCTCCCTGTTGACCGGCACTTTGCAGGAGCTTTGGCGACTTCAGAGTTTAGAGTTGGGGTTTAGGGCTTAGGGTTTAGCGTTTAAGGTTTAGGGCTTAGGGTTTAGGGTTTCAGGTTTAGGGTCTAGGGTTTAGGGTTTGAAGCTCCATGTCGTGTTGGACTCCAAGTTATGATTTCAGAAAGAGCCCGTGCTCAAGAAGTTCAGGAGATCATGAGTATGGGGACCTGCATCATGGGTGCATCAAGGCACTTCTGCTCGATCTTATGCATCCGAATACCTGTAGGTTCTTGTAGTTTGGGGGGCAGTGTCATGCCCTAAACTCTGAACCCTAAAGCCCAAACCCTAATGCCTAGACTGCGATGCACGTGTCTAAACTGCGGCCACTCATAGCGCTCCGCGAGTCGAAGTTTGTCCTTTTTTGGGGTTTTCAACCTTGGTTACCCCCTGATGAATCCCCGAAATCGTGTAAAACAGCCTGAAGGTAGGACGACCAAAAAGGGAACCATGACGCTACGACGGGTTTTGAAGCTGGCTCAAGTCTTTGCAGAAAGCGCAGTAAGAACTCCAACGGCAATAGGAACACCGCCAGTAAGCGGGGGCTTTATGTTCTGCGAGCCTGAACTGCATCTAGCCGGACCCCAACGTCAAGCAGGGCATCAAACACTCCGAGCCAACCAGTACGATTCGACATCTCTCAATGCTGAACCTTCCGCATCTTAAGCTCCACCTGCCACCCTGGACCCAAAGCAGGAAATTCGGACCATCAACAACGAGCGGAGCCGTAAGCGCCGGGAGCTGCGAACGTATCTCCATTCGCAGGCAGCGCCCACCGAGACACTCGGCGTAGTAGTGTGGGGACTAAGGGTCTAGTATCCGCTGCCGTTGCTTGATCCAGTTTAGAGGAGTAAGGAATCCATAGGGTTTCATAGCATGCTATGCAGCAATAAGCTAAGCATGAGCCCGAGCTCAGAGGAGCCCAGATCCGGAGGAGTCATTACCGCCGCTTTCCGAGGCTCATCATGCGAATTATGAGCTTCGCTGACTACAAGCTGCTTGGCTTGGGATTTAAAGTCATGTTGGACATTTGTGTGAACTGTGTCGCTGAGCGTTTCAAGCTGGTGAAATGTGCTTCTTCCTGACCAAAGTCCTATCACTGACCTAGGTTCCCTCTAAGTAACTAAGGAGGCAGTCCTTCGTGGCAGAACTCAAAATGGGAGCACTAAACAAGCCTTTGGAGGTCACGGATTCGGCATCAAGGTTTCCCTGCCGTATCACGTTAAGGCAGCCACAGACGATACTACGAGCATTACGTTGTAGTGACTACGACGGATAATGCTTGTGATAGTACTTTCTGATTAGACACAAGTAGAGAGTAGATTGATCAGTTGCTGTACTGGGCAGTAATTATCAGGTCACACTCGGGTCTCGTCTGCTGCGGCGCCAACATGAAGAGATCCTATCATGCGGGTGCTTTGAGGGACCTAGCTTTCCTTCGACCCTTTGACAGATGTACCTGGTTGTTTTTTTGTTTAGCGTCCTTCATGTGAATCCTTGGGGCACGGGTTACGAATTCTGAGGGGTGCTAAAAAATGCATACCATAAACTGGGGTCCGCGCAAGCTCGAGACATGTGACGCAAGGTTCCGCGTGAGGTCTTGTAATGTAGCTTGAACATGGCAGCCGATATTGTAGAATCTCTGCCAGCGCAAGATCCGCGCAATTGCGAAGCGCAAGCAACCCTATTGGAAAGTGTAAAGTACAAGGAAAAAGAACTAGCATTTCCACGTACCTTCAGAACCTGAAAAAGAAAACGCTAATCCAGCAAGCCTTAGCCATTCAATGTTACAACAGTTGGGACGCCGTAGGTGCCAACTGCCGTGAATGCTTGCATGTAGCAGAGAAAAATTCAGCTTTTCTGCACTTTACAGCCTTTTCCTGCTGAGGTCATGTCAATGTGTGGCCTGTTCTGGTTTGTTTTGAATTGTGTTCTGGCTTTCGAAAGTGTATTGACGGTTTGGACATTTGTGCCTGCAGGCAACAAGGGAAGACCACAAAAACCCACAGGCCCTGTGCCCTAAACCCTAAGC